GTCCCCACCAAAGTTTAAGTAGAGAGAACAAAGACCCCCTCCTCACAGTAGGAGAAATATTAGTCACATTATTTAAAATAAAAAGCATGTCTGTGAGCACATGTATTTGTACATTTGTCTTTGGGAAATGCCATCTACCACAATAGGAAAAGAGGAATAAATGAGTAAGTGCTAAGATGGGATACTTAACTGCAACCATATGAATAATTACATTAAATATAAGTGGATTAAACAAACACTCTACTCAGAAGATACATGTCAGACTAATTGAAAAGTCTTGTTTTTCTTCAGTAACATATTGTCAAGATAAAGACACATTGAAAATAGAAGGAAACAGACAATTTGAAAATAGAAGAAAATATATTCAAAACAAACATGGAGCATATGAAAGCTACTGGGGTTATATTTATATCTACTTAGATGTCAAGACAAAGAGTATTCCTAGAGATAAAGTGGGACATTTCATAATGATAAAGGAATCAATCCATCAAAAAATATAATAACCTTAAATGTATAGGCACTCTGCAGTAACAGTTTCAAAATACATGAAGCAAAATTAAAAACATTTCTAAAATTCACAGTCATAGTTGCGAATTTTAACAATTCTCTCTACCAACCAACTTGATCTAGTTGACATTTATAAAACACTGTACCCCAAAAGAAACCAGCGCACTGATTTCTGCTTAGAATATAGGAAGCTGGAAAGAGCATTGTTCCTATTATAACAACAAGAAAATACACATAATCTTGAAATCATAACTCATTTTGAACCTGTGAGAGAGATGAGGTTACAGCACAATTAATTAGCCTGAAATCTAAGGAAAGACAGGTGCCTTCAAAGGCAGGTGAAACACCCTGGTACACCTGCAGCAGAGCAGAGGGGGAAATGGAGTCTCCATCCAAGCAGATAATTAGAATGCCACTAACTCTTCAGTGAATTGCTAAAGGCTGAGTGTGAGCTAACATAAACACAGAAGACACCTGGAAGCTGCAGACATAGACAATTTTCAGCCAATAACAGGCTCTTGTCCATGAACCCCACCAGGTGGTTATGAGAAAGAATGGGGTAAGGCAGGAATCTGGAAAACTGTCTCCTTACTGGGGCAGGCCTGGAGGAGGGAAGCCGTCACCACTGCAGGACAGGCACAAAGCCCCACCAGGAACGTGTTTTCCCAATAAAAGCCTTAAGCAACTAGCGGAGAGGATGACCAACTGAGCCAGTTTCCTGAGACTGAGGTATTTCCCAAGATGTATTTCTCCCAGTGCTAAACCCAGGATGGTCACAGAAAAAACGGGAGGAGTTAGTTCCTTTACTGGAGAAAGAGCACCTTGGGTCACTCCGAAGACATAGGAAAAGACCCATTTCTTCTGGGGCATGAAAAATGAATAAAAAAAGAAAAACTCTGTTCCTGGAGAAGAACAGAAAACCATCTTGGGCCCAAACAATTAGAGGTCTCCTATCACTGAGAGAAGTAGAACCAGTGAGAAATTTCCACCTTTAGAGCAAGGAGCACAGGGCCTGCCAAAGACAGGCTCAACCAAAGAAAGTGTGGAAACATTATGGCCTCCCCACCACCAGGCTAGTAAGTACCAAGTAACAAACAACAGCAGTCTATCCCTCAGGGTGAGCAATAGGACACTCTATGATGTGTAGGCACACCAGGAATGCCTTAAGCCAAAGGTGGAAAGTGAACATTGAGAAAAACCCTGTAGCAAACCAACCCCCATTCTAAACTCAAAGCAACACTGAAAGATCTTGAAGTTGGTGATAGAGTGAATGTATTTATAGCAACAAGAAAAACAAAAAATGAGTTCAACTCTTGATTGGGTTGACCTCATCCCCCACACTGATGGACCAGCAGAAGAAGCATTTCTATTTCACGACATAAATATTTATATCAGTTTTTACTGTTATACATACTGTGTCTGACAATGAAGTAAAAAATTATGAGACACAACTCAATAGCAAAAAGAACAAACAACTCAATTGAAAAATGGGCAGAAAAGCCCAGCCAGAGTGGCCCAGTTGGTTGAGTATCATCCCATGGTTCGATCCCTGGTCAGGGCACATGCCTGGGTTGTGGGCTTAATCCTCAGTGTGTAGCATGCAGGAAGAAGCCGATCAATATTTCTCTCTCACATCAATGTTTCCCTCTCTCTCTCTCTCTCCCTTCCTCTCTCTGTCTAAAATAAAAATAAATCTTAAAAAAAAAAAAATAGGCGGAAGATATAGACATTTTCCCAAAGAGGATATATAGATAGCCAAGAGGTACATGAAAAGATGCTCAGCATCACTAATCATCAGGGAAATCAAAACTACAGTGAAATATTCCTCACACCTAGATGATAGAATGGCTATTATTAAAGAGATAAGAAATAACAAGTGTTGGCAAGAATGTGCAGTTGGTGGGAATGTAAATTGGTGCAGCCACAACAGCTGTGCCCCCTTAGCCACAGTTTTCCTTTCCATGGATTCAGTGACCTGTGGTCAACCATGGGCCAAAGATATTAAATGGAAAATTCCCAAAATAAAGCATTAAGTTTTAAATTACATGCCATTTTGAGTAGCGTGGTGAACTCTTGCATCCTCCTGTCCCACACAAAATGAGTCCTCCCTTTTTCCCAGTGTATCCACGCTGTACATGCTACCTGTTAAGTCACTTGGCAGCCATCTCTTGGTCATCAGATCGACTGCTGTGGTATCACAGTGCTCGTGATCATATAACCTTGACCCCAAAGCATAACAGGAGTGATGTGGCAATTAGAGAAGCCATAAAGTGTTTTTTTTAGTGGAACGGTGCAAATTCTCAACTTAAGAAAAAATTGTATGCTGAGGTCGCTGTGATCCACGAGAACACATCTTCTCCCCCTGAAATGGTGAAGGAGAAAAAAATGTGCACTGGTTTTGCTGTCTTACCTGAACCTGCAGAAGTTATGGCCACGTGAGATAAGGTAAGATGAAAAAGGCACCAAATTTGTGAGTGGAAGACATGAACAAGAAATCTGTTCCAACTGAGGGCAACATATTTTACTGGAAAGCATTGAGCCTATCCAAAGACTTCATGAAGCAAGTGATGTCCTGAAACTAGTGACTCCAAGCATTTACTGCAAGTAAGGGATGGTTACAAGAATTCAGGAAGAGGTTTGGACTGAGAAATATAAAAATTGCTGGAGAGGCTGGGTCTGCCAATTAAAAGGCTGCTTTTGGCAGGGTTAAAAAAAATGTTGAGCCCTGGCCGGTTTGGTTCAGCGGTTAGAGCGTCGGCCTGCGGTCCTGAGAGGCCGGGGTTCGGTTCCCGCTAGGGGCACGAGCCTCGGTTGCAGTTTGTCCCCGGGCCTGGTCGGTTGTGCGGGTGGCAGCCACTCGATGTGTTCCTTTCGCATCGATGTTTCTCTCTCTCTCTCTGTTCCTCTCTCTCCCTCCCACTCTACCTGAACAAAAAATGGAAAAATGTCCTCGGGTGAGGATTAAAAAAAAAAAAAAAATGTTGATTAGGGTTTAGTACTATCTATGGTTTCAGGCATCCACTGGAAATCTTGGAATGTATCCACTGCAGATAAGGGGGTACTACTGTATGGAAAGCAGTATGGATGTTCCTCAAAAAATTAAAAACAGAACTGCCATATGATCCAGCAATTCTACTTCTGGGTGTTTATCTGCAGGAAATGGAAACACTAACTCAAAAAGATATCTACACCCACCCTGTTTATTGTAGCATTCGTTATTTATAATTGCTAAATATGGAAACAAACTGAATGTCCACTGACAGATGAATGGATAAAGATACACACACACACACCAGAAAATTATTCTGCCATAAAAAAAAAAATTTTTTAATGGAAATCTTGCCATTTGCCACAACATGGATGGACCTTGAGGACAGTATGCTAAGTGAAATAAGTCATACAGAGAAAGACTCATACAGTATGATGTCACATGTGGAATCTGAAAACAAAAAAAACCTCAAAGATATAGAAAACTGAATAGAATTCTAACATGTTATTAGTCTTAAAAAAAAATTGTCCTTAAAAAAATAGAACCACAATTCAGCTTCCCAGACTAAGGAAGTTTCCTCTATAATACTCTTATCTTTAAAAAGAGGAAGAAATATTAATGGGGATCTGGTAACAAAATAAAAGTTAAATAATTTTGGAGAGCCTTTCATTTTCCCTCAGAAATATATATTTTGCCTTCATAGCCTCAAAATTGCAAGAGCCTATTGATATTCTTTCTGAACAAAATCCACCTGAAAAGACATACCCTTATCTGAGCACTCATAGAACTCCACAGCTCTCTGAGATCGCAAAATGAATAGAAAGATATTTGTCCTGGTGAACTGCTAAATGCCAAACACTGGCACTAATAATCTGCTTTATTTCTCACTGAAGAGCTGAGATTTTTAACCCATCTTCAATCCACCCAGAAGAGATTTTAAATAAACATCATCTCCTTTAAAGAAAACATTCATGTATAAAGAATCTGGTATATTTATTACAAAAATAGTCACAGCACTTAATAATTGGCACATATTCTTTTTTGTCTTTTTCATTTATAATACCTAAGGAAATAGCAAGGCAGAAAAACATATTTCACCTTTAAAAAAATTAAAAATTCAACACACTTCAAAAAACCTATTTTAATTCCAAGATATTACTCCAAAATGAAGAGAATTATTTTCTACTATTTCTATTTGCCCAGTAAAGCAAACAGTGAAACATCTTTCTACAATAGGCAACATAGACTTTTATGTTTCTTTTATAAATATCTAATCTGTTTCCTTATTTGTAAATATACTACACATACTACCTTAGATTTGAGCACTAATAGAATTAAAACATTTTCTTGCCTGTGAGGACCACTTCTGATTATGTAACATATAGCCTTATATCTTAATCCCAAGTTAATTACAGTGTCTGAAAAAGGAAATATTCATAAATTAATGACCTGATTCCATTAAAAAAAATTTCGGCAAATGTGAAAAAAAAAGAAAAATCTTGTTATTTGTTAATAGATGATGCTTTGAGAAAAAAATAATGCATTCTTCCACAGAGAAAGTGGTTTTAGAGAACAGTTCTGGTAGTATGACAAAGCATCAAAAGATCTGACATAGCCTCCTAGTTGGGGCGGAGGGGAGGAGGGGGAGGATGATTTCAATGTGTTCCTCTTCTGAACTGCTCAGTAGCCCCAGGTGATTTTTAAATTGGGAGGCAGATTACTGGCAATAAGCTCATCAAATTTAGATATATCTTTAACAGGCACATTATAGAAATCAAGAACATCTTTAACCCTGCACATCTCATGAAGCCTGGAGTTAGGCACTGCATAGCCCAAGTCATCAGCTAAGCGTGCCAAGAAACTGAACTTCAGATGAACATCTTCCAGGGAGATGTCCTGCCAATTGCTAGGAGCAGATGGCCCAACGATTTCTTTGACGCAAGATTCCAAACGACTCTGGAGATCTTCGGGTGGTATGTATGTTCGGCTTCGCAAGGGTGGGCACGCCAGGACAGGTTCTTTCTTCACCTCCTCTACTGTCTCAGCTACCACTGGCTTTTCCTGTTCTCTGCAGTGATCAAAAACAAACATGTGAATCTGGTTCACGGCATCAATGAAGCTGACAAACGCTGGAAGGGACTGGGCGCCACCGCTCGCCGAGGCCGGCGCAGAAGGTGAACGCCGAACCCTAACGCACTTGTCCCTCCCCGAGCCAGGGTCCCGGTTTAGCAGCACGACACTCCCTTCGTCTTCCTCAGTTCCATTCCTTACTTTCCATGACTGGGACCCACCAGCTAACCTTTCGCTTTACCTGAATCGAGACCAAAATTCTCGACGCGGGGCCCCTGCGATTATCCACGTGAGGCCTCTTCGGGTAACACCGTGCACTGAAATCGCCGCCATCTCCGCGGAAAGCTACGGGGTGGAGTCCCGCCCCCGGCCAGTGACGCTACAAGACTAGCCAATCGGATGTGAGTTTAGTGGCAGATGGTCTCTGTTTCTAGTAAGACGCACCAGCGCTCCCTTTGCATGCCGGGAAATGCAGTCCAGTAGCCTTTGCCCGCAGAGGCTGAACCGCCACGCTCTCGCGGAGCATGACGGGAGTTGTAGTCGGGGGGAGTCCCGGGAAGGTTCCGGGTGACGCCTTCTGGTCCGGGGGCGGGCGGTCACAGCGCTCCTGGGCTGAAAGGAGGAGGAACTGACAACGGGGAGGAGGCTCCAGCGAGGCCTGGAAGGCTGCGCAGCCAGGCAGGGGAGGGAGTTCGGGGGTGGGGGGCGGCCAAGGAGCGCTTCTGAAATGCTGCTGGGGTCGTGACCGCTGGGGGACCGAGGCAGGACCTGGCCAGACCCAGCCTGGAGGCCTCTCCTTCGTCGGGCCTAATCTCCAACGGTCCGATAGGCCCCAGCAGAGGCTCCTTTCCGTGCGCACGCCCCACCCCCCCAGGTTCCTGCCCAGATTTCTGGCCAGGAGATGGCCTCCCCGAGTCCCCCACTGGAGCCAAAGGTAAGCCACCCCTCCGGGTATGCCCGTGCTCTCGCCACTACTCCAGCTAGGCCGCGCTCCAGCGCCCCGCTCCCCCGACCGCGCTCTCGGGCAGCGCAGCGCGAGAAAGTACCCCTAGTGCTCTGGGGTGCGGTTCGCACCCTGGTCCCTTTTTTTTTTTTTTTTAAGAGCAACTTGATTAATTAGTAAATGCTCCAAACCAGCGCTTTCATTTGTAAGTTATTCCAGGTTTGGCATCATTTTTGATCCTCTGCTCTGCCTTCTGTACCTGTCACTGTGCTTGGACCCAAGGTACACGCTTAGAGAACTTTATGGAATTGAGTTATACAGGGTCACAAGCCAGTGCGAATAGAGAATTGGAGCTGGGCAGTGAGGTGAAGGAAGCTTGGGGAAGCTTACTATTAGGATATAATTATTAAATCACAAAAGCCTTATCCTTAGGCCACTCGCTACCAAGGACAAGGATCCAGCTCATTAGTTACCCTCTAGTCTGAGGGGCCTGTTGGTTGGTTGCCAGAATTGGGCCTCATTTGGAGCTCTTGGTTATCATGTTTCTTCTAGTCTACCCAGCCCAGATAAGTGCTACGTTCAGTGGTAGAACTGTCCTTGAGAGGAGAACTGACTACAGAAATCATACTATTTCAGGGGTTGCTGACATTTGAGGATGTGGCTGTGTTTTTTACCCAGGAGGAGTGGGATTATCTGGATCCAGCTCAGAGAAGCTTGTATAAAGATGTCATGATGGAGAATTATGGAAACCTGGTCTCACTGGGTAAGAATCTGCTGTTTCTCTCCTTAAAATATCTAAGAGGCTGTGAGAAATCAGACTCTGAGAACACTTGGACCAGTACCAGTACCAGCACCAGTACCCAAACTGCTCTGTCCCAAACTTCTTAAACCTTTCAGCCATTAATTGTTTACAAGACTCTCACCCCTCCTATCTCTGCACTGACCAAAATACAAGCCTTTTTGGCTTCTTATCTCTATAATCTCATTCCCATATTGCTCTGTACTTTCCCTCCTGGCTCATCCTCCCACGGCTTTCCTCCCACCCCTTTCACTCTGCCTTCTGGAGCTCCTGTTCCTCTTCACATAATGTTCCTTACCCCTCCTGGCCTTAACTGAAACCTGGCGCTTTCCCAAGGACACCACTTCGCTGGGAGGAGCTGCTTATTCTCTCACATGCTCTTCCTTCCCCATCCTTTGTCTTAAGGCTGGAAAGGAGAAGTTACTGTTCTCCCAGCTTTTCAGTGCTCTTCCCAAATCATTCATTTTCCAACTTCAAACACTTGATCTCCCCTTTGAGGCCTCAGCAGTCTTGCTCTACCCACTCAATTCCTTTTCACTACCGTTTGTCAACTTTTTTGGACCTTCGCATGTACACTTTGCCACGTTTCAGAGTCCTCTATGCTAACCCTCACCAACAGCGATACAGTCATTACGTAAGCCTCCGTGTTTCTTGACCGTATTATCTTTACGGACTATACTTTCCCTTTTTATTCAACAACTCACATCAGTGATGGTACTCTCAATTTTGTTATAACAGGAAAAAATTTAAACCCTAATAACTTACTCTTTGACCAAGTATTCAGGCATGTATTGACTGTAACTCAATAGAGGTGATCAAAACCAGACATAATCTCAAGTGGAGCTTGCTATAACTTCTTACCTTTCTTTCTCTTCTACTCCTTTCCTACTAAACCTATTTGTTCTTAATGATGTTTCCTGTTCCTTGACTTCTTCATTTTTTCCTCCTCTTGCCTTGACCTCATTTAATCCATGGATCTATATATGAACTCTCACCAGCATGCTCTCATGCCACCTGGTCATTATGCTCTCCCCATTCTGCAAGCTTCAAATCCTATATTGGTTATAAAATCTGCCTTTTCTTCTCTCCTCCCTGAGTTGCTAAACACAGCAGGAGGTATTCTGTAATGGAAAGGATTGATGCCTTGTATATAGGCATGGCTTTCCTTCTAGTTGCCACTGGGTTTTTACATTTCGACAAGTTTTTATCCTTGATTTGTTCATTCCCTTTTTCCTTTTTTTAGGGACTGTTCCAAAAACATACTTTCCTTGGGTCCATCACTCAGTAGTGGACCTTACTTTCTGTTTCAGAGAAGATAGAGGCCACTAAACGTGAACTTTTCTGCCCCTTTTCTCACTTTTCTCCAAGTACTTAGATATCAGTCATCGTTTGCTCTTCTTTTTTTTTCCCTTGTAGTTTCAGTCTCTGTTCCTTCTCCTCTGATGTCTTTAGTCTGATGATAGATATGTTCATGGCTCTTTCCATTGGAGAAAGGAGAAGGAAAAAGAAAAAAAACTATACTTTAAGCCACAGTCTCCCTGTTGCTGCTCCCCATAACCTGCTACTTGTTCTCTTCACAGCCAAGGTTTTGTACGTGTAGTTAATGTGTTCTGTAGTTTTTCTCCCTAAGCCCCTTTTCTTGCCTCTACCACTCCCCTTAAATTAACATTGGTCTAATAGCCCAGTGGTCAAATGCAAAAGACTATTTTTGGACCTTATTTTATTCACCTCTCTATAGATATTTGAAATTCTTTATTGCTTCCTTCCATTGCTTTGCATTCTCAGACTTCCTCTTAGTCTATATACTTTCCTTGATGGACCTTATCGACACTCACGTCATCAGCTACCACCATGTGATGGTAAGTCCCAAATCTTTATCTCCACCTAGGAGAGGCAGCGTGGAACCTAACTGTCTAAGTAAAAATCTGGGTCCACTTACTACCCTTATAACCATGGGTGAGTACTTAACTTCTTTATGCCTCAGTTTCTATTTTTATAAAATGGAAATGATAATAGTCTTCCTAGGGTTATTGTGAGCATTACCTGAATTAATATATGTAAAGCACTTAGGACACTGACTACCACGTGTATAATATAAATGTTGATTGCTACCATCATTATCTTCTTTGTTGAGCTCAGAATTTCTAGTCTTCTCCTTTTGAAGACCACACAAGACACCTGGAAAATCTCAAATATCAGTTAAGATCTCAAGGGCCTCTTCTTCAGAATTAAGCACTTGTTCCTCTGCTACCTTGTATACATTTAAAATTGGTGAATTATTCACACTTTTCTGTAATCATTCTTTGTTATTTCTTTAACTAGATTGATCTCCATGAAGACAGTAACTATAATTTTTTATTTCTCCAGTACTTAGGATAGAACCAGGTATATATTTATATGCTTCTGAAATATATGTGTGCCTGAATATACTTAAAACTTATAACTTGACTAGATTATTACATTAGCCCATACAGTAGCCCCTGCCTCTAGTCTTTCTTTGTTTTAATAGGTTCTCTTTCTTCCACCAAAGTGATTTTGTGTTAATTAACTGCTTACAACTTCTGGTAACTCCTAATAGCTTAAAGGATAAAAATCTTGATTTCTTATCATACATACTAGGATCTCCCTAATGTAGTCTCTGCCTAGCTTTCTAGCTTCATCTATTTCTGGCACACCATTTCAATCTACAGCAGTATCGGCTGCTAATTTATTTATTTATTTTTTTAAATATTTCATGGTGTGTTTGAGTTTCTGCCAGCTTTATACACACATATGGTGTCCTGGTTGATAGAACCAGGCAAATGATCAGCCTTTCCTGTCCCTAGTGCTGCAAAATGTGAGCACCATATAGATAAAGACATGGCAGTGAGCCCATGTGTGATCTCCAACACTTAGGCTCTCTTCTTTATTTTAGCAAAATACAGCTTTTCATCATCTATTCTACAGTCTTTTTATCCTCCTCTGTAGACTCTCTATCTCCATCCCCTTGATGAGAAATCACTATTACTCAACTGTTCCAATGTAGTGTTTTCCTCCACTTTATCTTGTTGCTTTACTTAACATGACACTTTTCAGTTGGTAATTTTGGTTCATCATTCATACCTTTCTTTCCATGCTGGTTTTTTCTTTAAAAACTTTAATAGCTATATAGATAATACAGCTGACAGCTTGATTTCTCTGTTCTTGATCTTTCAGTCCTTTGAAATTGACTTCTTCAGTTTTAATGACATCTCCAGTATATTGAGCCATATTGGACCTTGACAGAATTGGGAATTGCTGTACCTACAAGACTGTAAACTTATTGTTTCTTTATTTGATTATAATCTCTCTGCAATTATTTGTTCAACTACTCATTGATTTAATAAAGCGTTATCAAGCGCTATGCTAGCCTTAGGAATACAAGGTCTTCCCCATCCTCCCATTCTTTCACTAACAAAATCATTGTTTTTATATTCTTTTGGATAGCAGGGTTGGCAACTATTGTCCACGGGACATTGTGGCCTACTGCCTTTTTTTTTTGTAAGTAAAGTTTTATTGGAACATGGACATGCCCATTCTTTTATGTATTATCTTTCATGCTATAGTAGCCAAGTTGAGTAGT